TAATCTCTGAAAGAGCAGTTGAAGGAGAGATCGAGATGGACCTGGAATGGAATTAGAGGAGAGCCGACGAGCTTGAGGAGAGCCATGAACTCGCTGTTGGAAGCGGCGGAGAGATGCGATGAGGATTTATTGGCATTGTCGGCGGATTGAGCCTTCATCAAGGCGCGGAGATTGTGCCAGCGGATGGCGGCGTTGGTGCCCATGTTGGTGAACATCTCCTCCGGAATCGGCACCTCCAGAACCGTCTCGAGTCCATTTTCTTTGTCGAAATTAGGGCAGAGCTTCCTCATGGAAGAGGAAATTAAATTTGTTGATTGGGAAGAACAAGAACAATAATGATTTTGATTTTGATTTTGATTTTGGTGGAGGGGAAATGGAAAGGAAGAGCTGTGAGGCACTGCCCTGTCCTCCCCTATGGCGAGGGCTCGGGATTGGGTGGATGTTTGTTGTGGCGATTGTAAAAGCAAAAATTGGAATAGAGGGACGTGATTTTTTTGTAAGGTGCTCCTTGCGCGTAGCCGTGTCGTGAGGGCACGATTTTAGGACCCTCTTCGTTTTCTCTTTTCTTTCTTTTAAGCAAAATTCATGTCATTTCTCTGTCTCCGTATCGGGTTTAAATCCAAAACGTTGTTTTGATTCTGTTGTGAGATTGGTTTTAACTATTTAAATTGTTTATGGTTTAGTTTTAAATTTTGTGAGACCCATTGCTTAATGTGTTTTTAATTATTGTTTTGTTCCGGTTACAAATTTGTTTCATACAACTTATTGCTCGTTATTATTTTAATCCAATAAGTAGTCTTAAACGTAGTTCAGTTAGTTTAGATACATTGAAAATTATTGATTGGATTAAAACAATAACACACAGTAAGTTGTATCAATCAGCAAAGATAGTTAGTTGAACATTGTCTTTTTAAGTTATATTCAATGACTAAATTTATTTTATTATAGAAAATAAACACATGTCTAACGTTAGTGGTGTGCATCTTAAACAAATTTTAATCAGTTGCGGATATAAATAGACTTGAATTTGGCATGTAAGTGAGATTTGATGTGTTTCACAATGGTGACTCACTTATATTATGTTACTAATTTATTACATTTAAGATTACTTTATTTTGCATTTATACTTGAATAGTATATGAAAACACCACCTCGATATTTCTCCAAAAAAAAAAAAATAATAAATGAATAAATAAAACATCAATTAATTCACACTACTCCATGACATGATAGAGACTTCAATAAAAACACTAGTGTCCAGCAAATGTCAACTTATTATTATTATTATTTTTTTACAATAAGACCGATTAAATTTAATAATTAGATGTTCAAATTGAGCTAAAAAGTAATGTATACTTGATTTTTTACTAGTCGAGCCTAACCGACTGTAATTGTAAGTACCTATAGAAAGTGTTTTCATGTTTGGTATGGTATATCAATTAATTGAATTGAGTTGTTTCGATAGTCTGTTTTGTATGTTCATGAAAACAAAGACAATTGGATTTATATATTTGTAGTTATTTACATGTGGTTGGAGGTAATTTTTTAGCTACACATATTGATTGGATAATGGAAGTCACACGTGGTTTTGATCGATAAAGCCTCAAGTTTTATTACCTTGGCCTCGTATTGCCGAACCGATCAAGCATACTAGCATACTTGAAATCTTGTTAACATTTATTGGTTGAACCGATTAGCTTAACCTTTACTCAGTCTACGTCTCCAACATATTCCACGACAACACGTCGCGATTCACTGCAATTTTAAAGAGTCGTTGAGGTTTTATCGAGAACACAGTCGGTGATATCGCCTATAAAGAGAGCCTATTCACCCTTATTTTAGTTCCCCAAACATCTCCTATCTCTTTGATCATCAAACACATATAATTTCCACACTAATATAATTTGAAGGTTGAGTGTCGTATGCACTAATAATATTTAAAAAACAACTAAATATGTGTCAACATGAGGTTATATTCATGAATATTATCGCCATTCTTTTTTATTTTTTGAACCAAACAAATATTATCGCTATTTGAAGTTAAATACATAAATATTTTAATGAATAAACTATAGTCAATTTAGACGATTATAAACGAATTAATTTAAATCGAAAGGACAAGTTCCGTTATTGTTCTTGTTTTTTTCTCCATTTTTTTATACTTGTTTTTATTATTAAATTTTTTTTTTTCATTTTACGGAGCTATCAAGTCTTTGGCAGCAAAATAGTCAAATTTTTGTACCTACATCGTTTGACACTTGGTAGGTGGTGCTGCCGCTGCGAATGGATTACGGAGTGCAAATTTATTGAAGTCGCCAACTATTTGATTTTTCTTAATCGGTAGATATTTTTACGGTCGAGCTATGCTCGTATTCATTTTAAATATACTCATGTTGGGAGTTAAATAAATTCAATACAATATTTATGCAGCACATTCATATATTGAAATATAGGATTGTATCATGTGCATTTTTTACTTTTCAATTCAAATATACCCTTAAAATAGTCAACAAACTAAAACTAAAAGTTTGAAGTCACTCCATAATATATAATAATAAAAAAAGTAATAGAGCATAGCCTATTATAAAATTGATAATTTAAGTTAGGGTAAATGTTCTTTTTTACTTGTCAACCAGTTCTAATTGGCACCTACCTTAAGACCGTAAATTCAAACTCTCATACTTCTAATAAAAAATAATCATTTTTATTCTTAGAAAATAAAAATTATGGTCCAAAGTTTATTAATATATACATACCATATATACAATGCAACCAAAATAAATAAATATGTACATCTTTTGAGCTCATCTGGTACGGAAGGATTGTCTAACATATTACTTATCACAAAATTACTCCATACCTTAATTATACACGTCGATAAAAATAAAAAATTATATTTATTATATTAGTCATTTTCTTAGTTCAACCCATGTGAATCTAAAAGTTCGTCATTCCAACTCTAAAATATTGTAGGTATATCATATAAAGGTTTTACTTTTACTGATTTGGTTCAACTCTCGAATTAAAGTTGAACCGACAATAAATGATGAATTTATACTTGTGTCACTATTTTTTGAATGCTTATGAAATGTGGAGGATAATATTAAAATTTTGTCAATTACTATTTTTTTTTTCACTGTAAAAAAAGAGTAATGGACAAAATTAAGGGGAGTTTCTTTTTTTTTTTAAAGTATTGTCCCAATTATTTTGACCAAATTTATTATTTGTAATTATTATTATTATTATTTTTAGTACAAAGGCAACAGCTTAAAATGGAAGAAGTGAAGACATTGTTTTCAATTTCATATCTGGACAGTGGACGGGGGTCCTATTTTGCTTATCTCCTTCGTTGGTAACGATGAAGGCAACTTTGAAGACCAAGTACGACGCAGATAAAAGCGGCGCCGCCTCGACTCTAGCTGTTAACGCCGGAGATGTCAAGCTCCGAGCTTCCATTACCGACGCTACAATCATCAACGGCCCTAGCTTAAATGGCCTAGCTCTTGCCGTTGAGAAACCGGGCTTCTTCATAGTTGATTACAATGTCCCCAAAAAGGTACGCCGGCTATTCCAATTTTCAGATTCAAATGCATGTTTGATGCCCGAGAATGGTTTTCGAGATCGTAGAGAAAATATCGAAGTATAACATCTCGGTAGGAGTGGGAATTGATTGTTGTATATTTCACTACCAAACGGAATCATTTGGTTTAATCTACAATAGATTGGTACTGCAAATCACTTAAATTGGAGTATGTAATTGTTTAGGCTGAACCTGAAATCGATTCATTGTACTGCGGAATTTAATTTTAATTTTCAGGTAGAAGACTAAGTTAGGTTTCTATGGAATTCGTTTTTTCCCCCTTTGCACCGTCATATTCGATCTCGTGCTAAATCATTTCGCTATTGCATACTATTGTACAGGACCTTCGCTTTCAGTTTATGAACACTGTAAAGGTAGCGGAGAAGCCTTTGAAATTGACTTACATCCATAGTAGGGGCGACAACAGAACAATTCTTGATGGAGCCCTAGTTTTTGATTCGGCTAACAAGGTCTCTGCCAATCACGTTCTTGGCTCTGGAAATTGTAAATTGAAGTACACTTACGTGCATGAGGGTGTGACCACTTTTGAACCTTCCTACGATGTTGCAAAGAACTCTTGGGACTTTTCTGTTTCGAGGAAGGTTTATGGTGATGATGTATTCAAGGCTACGTACCAGACTACAACCAAGGCACTTGGATTAGAATGGACAAGGAATTTAAAGTCAAGCGGAGATATCAAGGTAAGTGATTTTATCATTAAACTTGTACAATTATTGAATGCTTGTTAATTGTGTAGTTCTTTTTATTAATGAGAAACCTGTATATTAAGCCAAAGAGGAAGGAAAACAACCTACGGACTGGGTAGAGAGAACCCCACCCAAAAGAGCTATACAAAAGCTATCCAATTAAAATACGACGATTTCTTTCCTCCCATAGGCACCACAAAAGAGCCCTTGTAGCACAGTTCCAAATAAACCTGGCTTCTCTAGGTAAAAACCAGCCCATTAACAGTTCATGAAGCCACCCGTCGATCTGCTTAGGATAGCAAGCAGAAATGCCAAGAGTATCGAGCAGAGAAGATCAACTCCAAGCAGCAGACGGACAGTGGATGAAGAGGTGCTCAACGGACTCATCACTCAGAAGGCAAAGGCTGCATACTGAAGGAGAGATAGTCCAGTTTCTGCACTTCTTTTGAAGAATCTCATGAGTTTTCTTTGGACTTTTGAACCTCCAAATGGAGGTAATGAGGGGGGACTTCATTGGAGGGGTGCACTCCACCAGCTTTAAAAAAGCAGAATTCCCGGATATGATTACTCACTAAAGTGAGGAAGATCGTATGATGTTTCAAGTACCTTTTCTGGACAGGGCAGTTTCTTATTAATCACTTTTGAGGAGTTTGATATGATGTATTTATATTGAACCATATCCGTGAACTGCATGTCTTTTGTTCGATTATTTCTCTTTTGCGACTTTAGTTTTTGGTACAGTTAAAAAGGGAACTGAACTCTAGCTGTGTAGTCCTTTCAGAACTCATCCTACTTATAATTATCTTTATGCAATTGGCCAAACAGTTAACAGTAAACACTTATCTTTGAAAGAATGTCCAGCCTTGAAGTTCAGGATTACACAGTCTATGAATATTTTTTATTCACCGCTAAGTATAAAATCAAACATCCACTCTCCAGTTAAATTTTTAGTCAAAAAGGAAAGGACATAAAAGGGGGAACCTGGTAGTGAAGAATTGGGACATCTAGGAGGAAGTTCTATATGTTCATGCATTTGAGCCTCTTGGTAGAAAGCTTTTAATTAATGAGAATTTTGATGTCTCTAGAACTAAGGTTGGTGTGCCCGACATTTCCCTGCGGATGCCATGATACCATGATTCCAAACAGAGAGGAAGGGGGTTTTCCTTGCTGGAAATTGACAACCAGGGAGTTCTATGAGAGTCTTGAATTATTCCTTAAGATAAGTAAAAATTCTGAACTTTAAACGTATGGTTAGTTATCCCCTTGGACTTTTCAGGGGGAAAGAAAGTTATCCCCTTGGATTGTATTTTAACCTCCGTATCAACGAATTTGTCTCGATAGGAATTACTTGATCTTCTACTGGCTTAGCCTTTGGTAATCTGATGTTTGGTGACAAATTGTTTTGAAAATAGGTTGCTGTTTGGTTTGTGGTGAGTAGTATTGAGCATTTTGTCATCTTATCTTGAGAAATCTCACTCTCCCACGTGGGTATGGGGAAACTTGGGACATATTTATTAGCCTGGGCCATGCACGAATGCAAGATACAAAAACAAATAGGATAGCCACAGACTTCGTGTTAGGCTCTAAATTCCTAAAAAGTTGTTAGTGAGGTTAAGTTTCACAATGTACTTTGGAGTTGTGTTTTGAGATGAAACACCTTCTTTATCCGCCATAAGTTTCTTCCAAAAGTACTAGGAAGTCTTAAACATAAACACCAATAAAATTATGGATAATGTTATTGGCTGGTGAAAGTGTTTCTAGAGGATTTCAAAACTAGATGTAAACACAGTATAAGAATAAGAAGTGTTAGCAACGCGTTGGCATGGAGCAGTTGAGAAGAGGGCAAAATGCCTGCGGGCTCGAAGTGGTGGTTCCAGGCCAAGGTTCTGGCAGTAGTGATCTTGGAAACTGCTGCGTATGAAAATGAAACTGGTTTAATCAGTTGGTTACTAGATTGTTTAATTTGTTTTCCTTGATGGCAATGGTAACTATTAAGATTCTGGGATAAAAATGTAGTGGCACCCGATTCGGTGTTCTCTGGTAGTTGAGGATCATAGTCTATGATCCGAGTGCGATAGCAGTCCTTCAATTTTGAGTTTTAGATGCTTTTACTCGATTCATTTCCGTTCTTTTAACCCTTCTTTTGTTGTACAGATTGTGGCATCGGTCAATCTGGCAGATGAATCAAAAAGGCCAAAAGTAACTGCGGAATCGACGTGGAACTTTGAAGTGTAATTTTCAATCAATCTTCCCTTTAAATTCCTGTTTGTGATTTATTCTGGACATGGATTTCCAATATACATTCCTGATTGAATCTGAGAATGCTTTTTGCGCACTGAAAATTTCAGTAGCATTCTAGCAAAAACCTCAATAGTCATAAGAAGCAGTTCTTTTGAAGTGACTGTTCGCTTCCCTATTGCTCATGCTCTGATATTTTAATTGCTTATATCACTCCAAAGATTAGCAACTTGCACAAACAAGACAGTATACAACTTTCCCAGTCATGTTTTATTTTATCTCTGTGTGGTCTTGATTATCAAGATGCAACGATGCAGGAGGTAATGTAGGGTTTTGCTGGGAATGAACAGAAGAACTCCAAGAAAATAATGATTTAAATTTTGTTTTGGTGTTGCACTTTTAAAATGTTGATTTTGATTCTTGTACTCTAAAAAAATTATCATTTTGGTCCATTTATTTTCTTTTTTATTTCATTTTCTTATTACAAGTTCAACACATTATATTAAGTAACGTGAATGGAAGAACTTTTATTATGTACGGAATTTTTAAGTATATGGATTAAAATGAACGAAAATTATACGTAGATAAATTGAAATAGACGTTTTGAAAGTACGTCGGTCAAAGTAAACAAAGTCTAACAAAGTTGGGAGGACGTAGACTAAATGTTTGAATTAATAAATGAGTTATAAACCATCCCTCTTAATATTGTATACTCATATTCTCTTTACACCTTCCAATTTTTAATATAGTTTTTATATTTTGGAGAAAAGCGTTTCTTTCTAATATTAATATTGAATCTTTCAACCATTTATGAAAATGTTGATAAAAATGTAAAAATGTGGATGAAGATGAAGATTTCTCTATAGTATTAAATCAACTATTACATCCTCCGATCCTCACTCTAATCTCTACATTTTAATGTTAATGAGTACTAAATCTATTGATTGTCATTTGCTTTTTTTTTTTTCCTTTTAAATTATACAACTTGATAAATTTTCACGTGAACAATACATTTAACCCAACCTCTGAAACTTGTCATTGGAATCAAACTTGACTTCTAAGGCAAAAAATATGCAGGTGACCAATTATTAAAATGGTAAGGAAATAATAAGCTTATTAAAAAAATTAAACCTGCCAGTTGCCACATGGTTTGTCATTCACTGGTTAATTAAAATCTCAGCTAAGAAACTCGACAAAATTGGTTAACCTATGACGAGGAAAAAAACAATATTTGGTTTAAAAGAAAGATAATGACCTCATCAAAGTTTGTCAAATTTTGCATGAGAAATTACCATCTACCCCCGATTTCGTAATTTACAATCTACTTATATATTGCTTAAATTTAAAAAAGAAGGTTCAAATTCTTATCGTTTTTAATCTAATATAAATGAAGGGACAATTATCCTCTTCCTTCTCTCACTTTTCTCTGTATGTCACGCTGCTCATATTTCAGTTGAGATGCGTGTATCTGGGCCTCAACTGGGCCTCAACTGAAACACGTTGTTGAAGACGAGAAAGAAGTGACCCACGTATTTGAAAGGTGAGCTTGTCGGTTTGGGGAAGATTTTGGTCAATAGAATACTTACATTTGGTGGAATGTCAATTCTACTAGCAAATAATATTTTGATTTCCAATAGAAAATTCGAAGTGTAGGTATCGTTATTGCATAGCCATATTTATCAAGGCTCCCTTATAAAATGTATGCAATCTCTTACTAACTTAAACCCTAAACTGTATCAGGCATAGTAGACAAAGTGCAAAATTATGTTTGCAAGTAGCCCATTGGCCTATGTCTTATTATGTTATTGTGACAATTAATTATGAAAACAAGTTCATCATAGCAAATTCTAAAATAACAAACATTTTAAAATATGAATATATGATAAAATATCATTCAATTAGTAAATAACATAACACCGATCCAATTCTTAAGTAGATCCACATCGGATATGATAAAGAAAAGAAAAAAAGAAGAAAACATTAAGGATAAAAATAAAATAAAATAATTGTGAAAAGTAACATTTAAAGAAGGTAACATGCAATAATCGAGAAAAAAAGAAAAAAAGAGAAACGACTGGGCTGGGCCTCGGGCTTTCTCCACGTACTACCGACAGATCATCAAAAGATTCCGTGGAGTCGTCCAACCAATAGGTAATTTTGGCGGGCTCGCTCTAACTTTGTTTGCCCATCTCACAGTCATACATTAAAAATAAATAAATAAATAAAGAAAAATAAAGAAATAAATAAAGACGCAAGAGCATCGCTTTGGAGCCTTCACTAATTTTTCGAATTCGCTTTGCCGCCACTACAGTTGTTCTTAGCGCCTCCGGATTTTTCACTGCAGTTCTCAGGTCAGTTTTTCGTCTTCGATTATTCTTAGAATTTCGATTGTCGAGGATGGAGAGTGACGACGATTTCCAGTTTTTGTCCTCTCCCGAGCCCGCTTCCCCTCTGGTTTCGGGGAGGAAGCTGAAGCGCTTGAAGAAAGCGAGTGTAGTGTCGGAGGATTTGCCGGCGATCGATGATCAATCTGCGAGTGGAGTTTTGGGGGATTTTGCCAGGATCGATGATCGATTTGATGGTAGCTTTGAGATGCATGGATTGAGTGCCTCGGAATTTGGAGGGGATGAGTTGAATAAATTGGACGGCCAAGATCTGGGTGACTCCGATGAGCTTCAACAATCAGGATCTGGATCGAGGGATTTGGATGAGGGTGATAATTTGGAACCTGTTATTGGTCTGGATTGTGAGGAAAATGATTCCGGAGTGGAGAAGGCCTTTGAGTTTGATGCTGGGGCTGGGATTGATGACAAAACTGAAGATCAAAGTCCGGGCATGGGAGAGGAAAACGGCGATGTGCTAATAGATGAACAGGAGAAGAAACGGCCTAGTTTGGATGCATTCGAGGATGAGAGAGAAGCAAAGAGGAGGAAATCGAAGAACAAGCGGCTCAAGAGCAGTGGGGAGCCTGGAAATTTCAGTGAGGCTGCGGTCTCGAAAAGGATTCTCAAGAAGGTATCATGACCATCGATGTTCTTAGCTGTGATATTTTATGTGTCTATTGTCCCCATTTCTCGGTGTTTGCTTACTTCGTTGCTTATATTTTCAGGAGAGAAGAGAATACGTTGAGCAACTCCGCGCCGAGTCGCAGAGACTCTTGCGAGGTAAGTTGCACAACTCACCGCAATCGTGTCCTAGTTCTTCTGAAAAACCATGGATCTTTAAAATGAAATGCCAAGCTTAAGCCATACTTCCCGTTAACATTCTCAAGTTTTGATCTACTTTCTTGCTAGATACTAGAGGAGCAGCATTCAAGCCTATACCACACGTTCAGAAGCCAATATCTTCAGTGTTGGAGAAGATCCGTCAAAGGAAGCTTGAGCTCTCAAGGAAGTGGGTATTCTGTTATTAGCCATTGGCCCATACATATATACTTAATTATGAACTTATACTTATGTAGTATTTATTTTATGCAGATCTATCATTGTCAAGAACATCATGTTCGACGGTGATGATGGTGATGAACTATTCTCAGAGGTCGTGATCAAGCATAGGTTGTCTGTAGAAGGGAGGGAGGACTCTCTAGAAGAAGAATGTGAGGATATGAATCAGCATCCTGCAGATTTGGAGAACAAAGAAGATTCAATGTGTATAGACGAACGTAATAATGGGACAAACATACCCTCAGAAAGGGAAAGGGTTAGATACATATACCCACCTTCTTGTTCCACTAATGAGTTTGAATTAGCTTCACTTTGAACAAGCTGACCTTTTTTCTTTGGCACACCAATTAAAACGTGGCACTGGCACATATAGAAGATCATGTGATTACAGGGGCTGTTGGCATCTAGCTTGCCGTCATTTCTAGATAGAATTCTATCATATGATTGGGAATGATTAGTGAAACTGTTGGCTAGTTCTAGTTGAGTCAATCCAGTAACTAAGCCTTATAGGAAGCTAAATGGCATGGCATTTTCTTTATATCCTGACTATTTGAACTAAATTATGAATTTTTTGTTTTTTTGTTTTTTGCTTCAAGGATTGTCTACAATCACATATACTGAATTTAGGATTTCAAATTTGTATCATAACTGACTTGATGCAGTTGTTTGCCTCTATGAAATACAGGCTACCATCAATGAGGTCACAGAAGCATTTCGGGCTCCTATTAATGATACTCAGGTATTTTTCACTCAGTGAGTTGTGACGAGGTTTCGTTTTCTTTCTATATTGTCAACATAATTACCAAGTCCATGCATGTTGTAGGACCTTTTTTCTGATTCCCAAACAAGCAATGGAGATGATGTGTCAAACGAGTTGTATAACAATCCTCTGCAAGAAAAGTTCACTCCATCCATATTGGCAATGAATTTAAAGCGTGATACTTCCCTTGATGATGTGATGAGCGAGACATCCAGCAGTCATCTGCAAGAAAATTTCACGCCATCCATTTTGGCAATGAATTTAAGGCTCGATTCTGCTGCCCTTGATGATGAGTAAGAATGTTATGTGATTAGAAATTTGATATCATGTAGTCATCGGAAGCTTTATTTTGGTCTGAATAGTAAATTATTTATTAATTTATTATTCCCCCATGTAGAGAATCACCAACAGAACATTACAATTAATATTTTTCTAGTCCTAGTTTGCCTGGTTCAGCGATTGCATCTGCTAACCTGCCTCTAAATTGATATATTCACGATACTTTGGCTTACTTGCTGGTTTCTTCTCCTGCTATCTTAGTGTCAAAAACTGAGATATAATATTAAGTGAGGCTACTTCTAATTGCTTGATATATGAGTTTATCATTGGTTTTCAAGGAGTCTTAAATTTAGTTACTTTACGTTGCTGGCTATCTGCTCACATAACTCAAGTACCTTGCTTTTTGTAGTTCTGATGAAGAGGACAATGACAAGGAGAACGTGAATCCACATCCACATGGTTTGTCAGACTTGCCTTCATCGGCAACCGGGGATCCTGTTAAAGCTTTTGTTGATGATGAAGCTGAGGAAGAAGATGACAGTGACCATGATATGCGCTTCCAAGATGAAGAGGAAGATGGGGACTCCGATTCAGAAGAGCTTCAAGATATGATAGCAACTGCATATGAAGAAAATCCATTAGACAATGAAAGGCGCAATGAACTTCATCAGAAGTGGCTTGAACAGCAAGATGCTGCCGGAACAGAAAATCTTCTGCAGAAATTGAAATATGGATCAAACTTTACAAAATCGGCTTTGCTGGAAGATGAAAATGAGGGAGCAAATGATGATTTTGAATTTTGTCAAGAAGCTGCCGAAGATTTACTTCCACTTAATGTGGCTCGAATGAACATAAGAAAAGTAAAGCAAATGCTTCCTCAAATGTATACAGATAAAGATGATCAGTACATATCCGATGATGAGGAAACAGAGAGGAGGCTAGCAAGAGAACGTGTATTTGACAAAGCTGTGAGATTCATGCTGTTCCTTGATGAGCCAAGTCTTTTACATATATTAATCAATCATTCAACCATACACTTCACAGGATTATCTGACCATTTATCTGAAACAGGAAGGAAAGTCCACATTTCTGTCACCTGCTGAGGATGAGGGCACAAGAGAAGTTTTTGGCCTTATTAAAAAGCTGAATGTTGTACCTGATGCAAAGAAGAGACAAAAAGCACCAAGTAAGATCTGCACCATCTTTCATCATCCCAAAAATTTGGCATGCTTTAAACTATTTCATCCTTATGTATTGTCTATTTTTATGCAGCGTTTTTGGACCCTCCACTAGCTGGTGTAAACAGAAATACATCTTCAAAGGTATATATACTGCATAATCTGAAATGTGTAACCTATTTAATCCGTTACAACTTCAGTTCTATGGTAAAAGGTCTTATCTTCTATAAAGCTGACGTATGTTATATAGTCATCCTTCTTAGGCCGAAGTTCAAGTTTATCTCTTTCTTCATCCCACAAGAATGGATCATCGACCAACGGTCGTTCTTTTATTTTTGGTCGGGATGACAGCAACAGCAGGAGTGCAATTGCAACGACTGAGGAACCTTCTGATCCGGTAAGCTCTAGTTAGAAAGATTAATGCTGAAGCTGAACTACATATGTTTATATTACTTCTGGATGATTGAGAGGCAGCAAAGGACTTTACCTCATCAAATATAGATTGGTTCAATCAAACCAATTACTGGCACGGCCTCTTTGGTCAATCGTGATTCCTACTAACTCCGGTTACTTGCCTTTGTAGGGTCAGAGTGAAATTAGAGCTACAAGGACTTCTTCAGCCAAGTTTAGTTACTCCCAAGTGAGGCCAAGTGGTCAGAACACTGCACCCGAAATCAAGTCAGGTACTCGCACTTCGTTGTTTGATATATTAAGGCAATCTTCTTTGCAACTACAACGCAAGCCATGCACTTTTGGTGAGGAGTCTAGCCAAATGAGTTCTGCATTTGCGTCATTCAAGTTGGAGAAGACACACATGAAGAAGCCAATAAAATCTGAAGGAAGATTCTAAGATTCTAATACGTTTGCCATTGGAATTGGATCCAAGATTAATGCCTCATTTTATTCAAATGTTTACTTGTTATGTTGGAAGTCCATTTCATTCAACATTTTGTTGGATGGGATGGAGACTTTTTTATCCTTTTATTCTGAGTTAATTGCCCACATGTCTGCAAGTAATTCAGATGCAAGGTTCTATTTTTGCAAGGCCACATATAGGAAACCAATAAGAGGACATTTCGCCCAAAATTTTGATAAATTAAGAATTGTTATGTTTGCCTTTGGAGTTGAAAATTTTGAATTTATGTGTCTGAATTGTATTTATAGAAAAATAAGAATTAATTTATAGAAATCTATATTTTGTGTTTAGCTTGTTATTTTATATTTATCGTAAAAGTAAATTATAAAAATAAATGTTCTTTTCTTTTTGGATTCAAATAAGAGATTGAAGATTAAGATTTGAACTTTAAGATCTTTCAAGTAAAACTACTATTATTTTAATCAATAGTAATTTTATAAGTTTGAGTTCATTTAATATGAATTTATGTCATTGACGGTGACGGGATAATTTTCCTTTTTATTCCTCCTAAGTTAATAAACCTAAGCTTGAGATAGAAAAATTGAAAAAGAATTTTAATTTTTATCATAGATAACAAAAATTTACTTGGGAGAAATTAAAACTGCCTAATCAATTATGAATGACGGTGACGGAAATAATTTTCCATTTCCTTTTCGTACGAAATACCAAATACTGTTGCTGTGGGTTATTCCTTTCGAAATTCAAATTGTCAGTTGATTCTGTTTTTCGGTTTTAAAAAACTTTTAAAAAAATATAATATGATGATAATTTTATTTTAAAAAATTATTTCTTTCGTTTTCACCTTTACCTAAAAAATATATCTAAATTCTTAACCAAACAATAACAAGACTTTAGAATTGTCCTTTTTTAGTATTCGATTTTTTTATTAAATTTTTGAAAATATTTTTAAAAAGTAGATAACAGAACACAAATACAATGAAAATAGTGTTTAGAAACTTAATTTTTAAAAATATATATAAAAAACAAAATAATTATCTCTGAATATCTAACTTCTCAATCGAGGTTAATTCTAGAACGCGGGACAACATTGGTAAAACCACTACTCGATTGATCATAATTTTTGTGGAGACCAGTAGCCATTGTCAGATCTCAGATGGGTAGGTTCACAAAAGTGGGCCTGGTAGAATATGTTTGGGGCCCATCAAGAGGCCCATTAAAAGTGTTTCCTTTTATCTTTCTCTTGTTCCCTTTTCTCAGGGGGAGGGGAAGTTAAAACATTTTGATACATTAGCTTCATCACAACTCCTCTACATTTTCCATCTCTCCCCCTCTTTTTTTATCCCTAAGTTTCGTTTTTCTTTTTTTCTTTTTTTTTTTCCACCGTTGACAGAACAATGACCCTCGCTGCTAAAAAGAATAATAATTTCCAACCTCTCAAAAAAAAAAAAAAAACTAAAATAGCCTCAAAATGTGGTAAAAAGATAAAAGTTTCTGATATTACAAAATCACTGGCTTGGAACTCGTTACAGCACAAATTTCAGACAGGAAGGGAGACACCTTTATTTGCCATGCTATCCAATATGTCGTTGAGCGCTTGACAGAGACCGACAATCTAAAGACATCAACCAAAGCAAATAATTACACAGAAGATCCATCAGATAAAAAATGAAAGTAATAAATGTTTACATCTTTTATATCATTCTTTTTCTTACAAAAAACTGACATTTTCTCCGCGTAACAAAATGCAGATATCTAAAACTTGCTCTAAAACGTGCCATACAGTTAGAGTGAACCTTTTTTAATCTTGAAATTTAGCAATGCGCAATGAGTGGAGATATAAATGAAATCCCACAGAAGATACCTGTTGATCCCATTGCTGCAGCTCTTCAATATCATCCTCAAAATGGATTACAGCTTCGACCTGATAGCAGTTTCACAGGTAAACATAATGTGATAAGAGAGTTCTGAAAAATAATTAATATACATAAATTTTCATTCATTCTTTTTATTGATGGGAGTATGAATATGATCAGTTTCGTCTATATGGATCACTGGTAAGATGCCTCGTAAAAAATTTGTGAAATAATCACATTTTGTAAAAGAAAGAAAAAATATACCTGGTCAATGGATCCCCTCATTCTGTCCTCATAGATCATTCTTGATGCTATCTTCTCAGCCTGAAAACAGGTATTTAGCAAGTGGAACGAACTTCATGAGCAACATGAGCTTGCAAGCCAGTAGCAGACAATTTTTAACAAGTTCTCTCGTTCTCACTCACTAACTCGTAGGCAGAGGGAGAATAGGGAAGAAAACCAATGGATGAGTAATTTTAGTAAACATAACTACGGGGAATTAAAATTTACCATTAAGAGGCTCAACTTGTCATAGACTCTAAATTTGATGCAAGTAACAGAAGAGGAAAGAGCAAGCGCTTTGTCAAGATCCCTCCCTTGATGTTTAGAATATTGAGAATGAATTCTTGCATTTCTTTACCAACCTCTGTACAAATGATGAAGGCAAAAGGTTTGTACCTGATGGGTTATGATTGAATTTCAAAGAACAGCAAGATTAGGCTGGAAAGACTTTCGGGAGGGTGAGACTTTGCAGACGACCTTACTGCTGAATTTTTTAAACAACATTATTAAGAAAGGAAAGGTAGACAAATGAGTTAATGAAACTTATCAATGCCTGATTCCCAGAAAGCCCTCAGCTGTTCTGGCAAGAGATGTTCAGACCTATTAGTCTCACAACCAATATTTACAAATCTTTGCTAGAGTTTGTGGATAGACCCAAAAGGTCCTTGATGTAACCATTTCAAAGAGCGAAGCTACCTCCACAGGAGGTAGTCAAAATTTAGATCGTATCCTATTTGAACAAAGTGGTAGATGGGAGGTAAAGAAGAAAAGAGGAAAGGGTGGGTTGGTCTTCAAACTCAATATAGAACAAGCATATAGACATAGAACGGTTTAGAGAGAATGGGTTAAAACCATGGTGACCACCTACCTAGAATTTAATATCCTACGAGTTACCTTGTCAACCAAATATAGTAGGGTCAAACGGTTGACTCTTGATTAGTCGAGGTACATGCAAGCTGCCCCAGACACACGGATATAAAAAAATAAAAGAATATATATATAAGAGGTTCTAAGCAACTCCCTTGGTTTAGGGTCGATATTGGCTTCCCTTCCTGTACCTTTCTCTCTTTTTAATGATAGGATCCATCCACTCTCTCTCTCTATCAAAGATAATTAGCAAGAGGTTTACGAAATTTTTCCAAAGCATTATTTTGTTTAGTACAACATGTGGGGGTTCGAATTCATGACCTTTTGATCAGAGATAGGTGCCTTAACCACTTGAGCTATGCTCGATTTGACTTTTTCCAAAGCATTATGAAATAAAAATAATAAATATCACACACCTTATGAGGAGGAATACCCAGCAAGGTGCCTAATTCCTCAAAGCTGCCACATGAATAGCCAAAAATAATTGTACAATGATCAGAAAAGGAATGTAGAAGAAGATGAAGAAAATATACTAAACTTATTCAACCTTATATTTGTGTAAAGTTTGCTTGCACTGAGAAGATTATGCTCAATCATAGCACGATCCAGCACAGTAAAATTATCTGGCAGAAGGGCTTTCTGTTGAAGCAAACAAAAAGGAAGTTTTCAATAAATGGTCCAATGCAGAATCCAGAATGAGGTCAAGAGTCAAAATAATAACCTGGTGAGGCTTTAGCTCTTCAGCAAACGCATCAATTTCTGGTTTTCTCAAAATTCTCTCCAAGTAAACCTAATAATTCAATTTTCCACTCATCAATTCAAATGCACTGAACAAATTTGCTAACAAAGACTAAAACGTTTATCTTAGAGAAAGAGAAGAGAGAACCTTTTGCAGTATTGGATAGATTTTCAACTTTGAGCAACGCTCATCCTAAACCAAAATGCCAATACTTAGACAGGACATATTAAAAAAACACAACCCCCTCCAAAATGGTGTACAATCAATTAAAAAAGATTTTTACTTTGTATAATGTGGCAAGAACCCGGGATCTCTGTGGACCAGCAGCAGCCAATATTGTACATGTCACTGCAGCAGATAAAGCTTGTTCTAGTGCTTCTTCGTCGAGCTCTCTGTAAAACAAAATAAAGTAACTAAACTAACAATATTCATCCTTTTAGTGGTTAAATTATACTATGAAGGATTAGAGGCCAAGAAAGAGCCTTACACATTACTATGAATTATTGTATCTTTTTCATTTGAAAAACATTGAGTTTCTAAACTCAACAGTGGTATCCTAATTGTAGCATTGTTGAAATTATGCTACAAAAGATATATATGAGCACAAACCCTTTTTCTTTTGGGTGGGTGGGTGGGGGGCTTCAAAGTAAGAATGTGTTAGACCCCTGATAGTGAAGACATATAGGAGGGGTAAAAAGGGGATGTTAGGAATGTAGGCCATAACGGCCAAGAGAGAGAAAGTGTCTAGATGGAGGTAGAAGGTACAGGTAGGGTATAAGGCAGGGAATGTCGTTAGGGAGGATTGTCTTTTTGCTTGATTGTGCTTTGGCTTGTTAGCTAAGGAAGGAGAGGTTCCCCACCCTCTCGAATTGGTGGGTTAGCAATTGTAACGCCTTAGGGCTCTTTTGTTCTTGAAGTAATAGAAAGTGAGGAGATACCTCACAGAATGATAGTGCATATTCGAGGCTCTAAACAAATTGAGGTTAGTAGAATAATTGCTCAACACATTTATGAAAATGTCAGAAACCTAGAAAGTTCAGAAAATTGGTCAACGTTCCTTATAACAAACAATGGTAAAGTAACAAACTAAAGTCAGCTCAAATTTGCAGTTTCAGTGAGAACTTGAGTAAAGGGGGAAAAGTATATAATATTTGTCGACATATGATTATGCTCATGATTATGCTCAAGATTGGTCAATTTGCCACTTCTGCAATTATTTAGAAACTAGATAAATATGTAAAATACTAGTTTTAAGTAGGTTATTTTTTTGTCATTTCTCAAAATGAAAGTGAGCAGTTCTTGCAGTGAATGAAAAGTACAAAAAAGAAGGTCAAGAATGCAGAGACTTTATGCATAAGAACTGGCAGACCTATAGCAATAAAATAATTTTCAATGGTGTACACATGCTCAAAATCAGTGTCAGCCAAGAATATCTATGAGTCATTGATGTTAACAGAGCTAAAGAGAGCACTAATTTTCCCATGAAAAGAAAATTAAATTTGACATACTCATCTCCTATTTGTCTCTTTTCAATTTGAGATATATCATAATAACGCAGTGCTGCTTCCAAGAACTTCCTTTTTAAGTCTAAGATCCTTGCATAACAAACCTGCAACAAGGAATGAAATGGAAAGTATTAAAATAAAAAAGGCAAATCCATACACCCATCCTCCTCAAAGTTATTGTCATTAACAATAAAAAGCATTTCTAACCTTGTATTGCAAATTGAGGACTTCATGCTGACTATTGCTAACCAGGAATGAAGCTTTATTGATAAAAGCCTCAGCATTAACAGCGTCATCATCCTGTTGAAGAAGAAATTGAGCGATACTGAGTGCTTGAGTACCCAAGACTAAACAAATTTCCTTGTTCCCACAAGCAAGATCATTAATTAAACAACCAGTTCCTACTCAGTACATACAATGATACAATGGAATTAAAAACTGCTGCACCATTACCACTATAACACGTCCAATGCAACCTACAACCCCTCTCTCCTACCATACATAGCTCAACATAATGCTTTTATACAACATTATGGAAATTTCCACTGTACCATAAAAAATTCAAACCGTCATTTCAGAAGTAACTGTACCTCGAGGTATAACCGAGCAATTTGAACACATTTTGACAACCGGTATGACTCATCAATCACTCTGACAGAGGCCATAAAAAGAGATAGTAACTAAAGAGACAAAGTCCAAAATTTATTTAATCAAACTTCTACCCAAAAAAAAAAAGGTTGGAATTAAAATAAGTATTATACCTCATTCCAGAATCTAGATCAATGCCACTAAGCATCTGAGCAGCTTTTGACCATTGCTGCTCAGATTCATACAATTCAGCAAGCTTCTCCCGTATAATCAACACCTGCAACACATGGAGACAAATTATTCCCTAGTCTATGGACCAAGGCAGGCCAAAATTCATTGCCAAAATAAGTTATTAATACTGCAGCCCCTAGCCACACTCATAATCTAGTGAGACAAGAATAAAGGTACTGAAGTAAAAAAGAGATAAGGCATACAGGGTGCAATCGTTATTTTACACCAGTTCATTTTGGTACTTGATAGCAAGTGATATTGCTAAAAAATACAAGATAACAACTCGATTAGTGTAATTCATTTTTACATAATTAGACGTGATGCTCATACACTTTCCATACATCACGGTATCTTCTGTATACTCTACATAATAAGCATTCCACCAAAGACAGCAAATCAACCGGCAGATAGATTAGATGTGCACTAACTGTGCATAGAGTTAACTATATTTTGAACAGGAATCTGAAGCTACAAAGACCTGATGGTTCAGTGATTAAAGAAAGTTAAAAGGACCCCAAAATAATCCCCCTCCGTTCCCATTATAGAAAAAATAAACATAGGTAATTAGCTTACATTTTCAATTCCAATATAACCAAGAACAATCCTGACACTATTTCCTTCAAATAATTAAGGGTGTGTTTGGGAGTGATTTTGGTCCTGTGATTGTCAAAATCACTCTTTCTATTAACCATGTTTGGTCAAATACAAATTAATTTTAGGAAAACTTAAAACCACTCTAAGTATCACTTGTGGTGATTCTAAAAAATCAATAATACTTAAAAAAAAAAAATTCTTCAAAATCACTAATTCTACCGCAACTCCCAAGCACAACCTAAGAAGGTTAATACAACAAGAGTATAAATCCATTTCAAACGGGTAATTTAGACGGATGATGGCAGGACCAGACTACTTTTCCAAAGTGAGTAAGTGACTCTGGATTGGAAATTGTTTTCATATGTAATTGAGAAATATCATTCCAACGTCGCATAGAAGTATGATGCCAGAAGTAAACCTGCTCCTCGAAAGAGACGACGCGCGGCTGAATCTGAGCGAGGATATAATGGGCAATCTCTTTCTGAGTGTCCCCCTCCAATTTCCCCAACTCTTGCGCAAGAGTCTGCAAAAGCTGCCGCGATACTACAAGCGGAACTTCATCGGATAATGCTGAATATCAAGAGTCGTCAGATGGTTAGCCCTAACTTCGCACCAAATTGAAGAAATGAGCGAGTTGGGAGAAAAAACTTCAACATATTAAAGAAAGTGAGGCAGCTAACTGTGATCAATAAACTTCTTGGCTTGAATTGTATCATTTGATGACAAAACATTATACAGAATGTGCTTGTACTGTTCGATCTTCTGCCTCTGGTCTGAGATGGCAGAGGCGCTCGCAAAGGCGCTCTCCATGAATATTCGCTGTTTCGCCTATCAATCACCAGCTTTCCTTCGGCTTCGAAACTGGAAACCCTAGGTTACGGGGAAGTCCTCTTCACTTCAATCCCGCTCCCTGCAATGGAGGGAACTGCTACTTTTTTCCGTTCTAGATCGATGGTAATCTCTCTACGGCACCCATTAAGGAATAGCTCACCCTTCGGCTAACCAAAGAGGGACACGTGTATACAGAAGGGCAATTTCGTCATTTTGTAATTTCTGATGGGAACGACTCTACGGCGATCTACTCTATAGACGCTCGTCGATCTTTGTTTTTCTTTTACTAACTTTTCGTAAATATTTATATTTATATGTATATTTTTTTTTTCAAAGATTTATATTATATTAACACATAGTGGTTGTTCGGTAGAAAAGTAGAATGTAACCATTTTAATAAATTGATTGTTCAGAATACGAACATTTCGATCTACTATATGGAATAGTACATTAGAAACTTTATATTGTAATAAACCTTTTTTTTGTTGACCTAAATATAGTTGATGTGATATTTTTTTTTAATAAAAATGATTGGTACCCATGTCACAAAAAAGAAAAAAAAGATTGGTACCTAAATTTTGATGGAAGAATATTTATTATTACTATTGTGGTGTAACGCAGTATATAATATTTTATATTTGAAAGTATAATCTAAAATCAAAATTCAAAGATGTTAACAAAAAATCAACATAACATGTTTCAAGATATATTATCTCATGCGTAATAAATATTTATAGACCAAAACTATGATATATATATTCAATCAAAAGAGATTGTGAGTCTCATCCCATAGTAAAAGAAGTTGTGTATTAAAAGTTAAATACAAGATGGATAAAAAAATTAAAAAAATTACTATATTTTTAGTTACAGTTTAATTACTCACCCTTATCATTGTTGAATTGGAAAGAAAAATCAGGTGTATGGAAATTTATGATTAAAAAAATATTAATTAAAAAATTAAAATTATAAAAAATGAATATAAAAGGAAAAATGAACTATATATATATATATATATATATATATATTTTTTTTTTTTTGTTCACTAAAAAATAAAGAAAAGAGAAAGTGAAAAGAGTCTTCACACCTTGCACCTTACGTTACAGTTGTTAAAAAGGTGAAAAATCAGACAACTTATCGCCGAGTTGGGTCGCGAGGAAATGGAAGTATGGGCCATAAAGTGAAGCATGATGTACCAGTTACCCGCTTCTCCGCCTTTCTTCCTTCCTAAAATTGGCAAGGCAATCCTTCTACGCTCTCGGCGCGCGATCTTCTCTGTCACACGATTTTTCGCTCCAAAATCCTCAAACTTAACTGGAAAGCAATTACAATTGCCGGAATCCTGCAAGCTCTCTACCACAGGCGTCTCTGAAAATGGATAGCACCGGTTAGTGGTTGCCATTGGTTTCCCTTGTGTCTCGAATATGATCTATGGCGGTTTCCAAAATCGTAATGGATTTCTTTCTCCCATTTGCGATCCGCGTCGATCTCGACGAAAATTGAAGTAAAAGAACGGCGGAAAGAGAGATGAGAAGTAGCCTTAGGCGTCGACCATTGCTATTGTTAAGGAACTCTGGAGAATCAAACTTTTTTCCGCGAGTTTAAGTAGTCATTTGCTTGTTTTTGCGTTACTAGGATGTATTCCTGAGCTCCATGTTATAAATCGATTGATTTTGTATGGCGGTTTATCCACTATTGCATATAATATTATGTACTGGTGCATGTTAACTTCACTATCAGCTTATCACGGATTTACTAAGTATACGAATAGCATCGTCGAGTATAATTCGTATTAATTTTGGAAAATTGCTTGGTAGATTTTATATTTATTCAGGAACAAGTTCTCGATGTTTGGCTTTTAAATTGGTGATTTTCTTCGATATACAAAGCGGTCAGATTCTGTAGTAACTATCAAGTTGTCTGGGTTTTCATTGCCTCAAAACTCGACGAAGAGTTGAAGTTTGGAAAGTAATTGTAGATTATGGGCGCTCTAAAGTAAAAATTTGATGTTTGATGTCTTATACTTTGGTTGTTTGACATGATGAATGTTAATATCCCCAGCAGGGAATCCTCAGGGCATTCACGTGCCCCCAGTTGAGGGCGTTGCAGGAGGAGGAACTTCTTACGGATGGAGTGATGGCAGCTTAAACACGTCAACTCCCACTAAAAGATCTATTGATCCCACAGAAGTTCCTACAACAGATCTAGTGGATGTGTGGTGCATGCCAAGCACAGCAAATGTTGGACCTCAGGAAATGCCTAGGCGCTTAGAACCTGTAAGTACGAAAGAATATAAAATTGGTATCTAATTTTCCGTGCTTAAGTCATAACTACTCTTCTTACATCTTGCACGCCCATTTTTTTCCCCTCATTGTAAGACTCATTGGGTAGAAGCCTCTAATGGAAGCCTCTAATGGAAGCCAGAAGATTGGATGATTAATTCACCATGACTTTTGCGCTCGTGGGTGGGTGGGGAGCTAGGGTAATGCCACCTCGAGAAATATGAGTTATTGGAATTTAAATGCCCAGTGAGTGAGTTCTTTTGGAGACTGATACCATTCTGGTTCCTACGGCCTGTTTGTTTCTTAACTAACAATATGGGAAACGAACTTATCCTTAGTTAAGAAAAAGCGTACTTCACAGAATAATGTCTTAACTAATCCAACTAATAAAACAGAAACTAGTAATTGAACTAGCTGCTAGTAATTCATACGTTTCCCTATAACTATAATATAGAGAAACTATAAATACCTTGTTTGCTTATATCGTGTCAAAGTATTGGATGCGTGGTAATTTCTAAACTACTTGTTGTGAGAATTTTGCCCGTAGGGACGTGGTATTTCTGAAAACTACTTATACTCTCTGGAATTTTTTATTTTTATTTTTATTTTTTTTATCATGGTGGTGTATGGATCATTTTATAATTTTTTTTTACTTCATCCATGAAATTTCAAGTTTAATCTTATCTTTGCAGATAAATCTTTTGGCAGCTAGAAATGAGAGGGAAAGTGTTCAAATTGCTATGCGGCCAAAAATATCTTGGTGTGCTTCTGGTGTGGCTGGAATTTTGCAGGTTTTTTCTGGTGATTTATGCTCCACATCTGGCGACCGGTTAGTGTCACTAGATAATTGTTCAGACACAGTTTGATGCGTTATTTCCCATATAAACATCCAGGGGTGGTTGTGTGCAGGCTAGTTGTTGGACAATCATTGAGGTTAAGGCGTGTGGTACCCATGTTGGGGGTTCCAGATGCCCTTGTCCCACTTGATCTTCCAGTCAGTCAAATAAACCTTCTTCCAGGGTAGTGACTACTTGAATTGGGATCTTCTACATTATGTTTGTGTAAAGAATGTTGGGTCAATTATTTGTCCAGGACTGCAATAATGTTTTATGTTTTATCCTGGTGCAGAGAAACTACTGCTGTTTGGGTTTCTATTGATGTACCAAATATGCAACCCCCAGGACAATATGAGGGAGAAATCCTTATTACCGCTATAAAGACAGATGCAGAGTAAGTCTTTCCCTTCTGTAACTCAAAAACATGTGATTTTTTTTTTTCATAATGAGTATTCATATTATTGTTTTGTTTCACTCACACGGATAAATGCTCTAAACTGCATCAGATCTTCAACACAGTACCTAGGCAGAGCTGAGAAGCATCAGATGTACAAGGAACTTAAAAGCTGTCTGGATATTATGGAAACTGTTGAGGAAAAGCCATTGGATGAAGTGGTAGGTTTGGATTCTACCATTCTAACCTTGCTTAAACTATGATGTATCATGTGTCACATTTGCCGGCATTTAATTTGCTTGTATGAAACATTGTCTTTTTAGGTAGAAAGAGTGAAATCTGCGACTGCTTCTTTAAAAAGAGTTATTCTCTCTCCATCATTTTCTGAATTTTATTCTGAGAATGGTTCAATTGATGTGATGGATGAAGATGCCTTTTCAAACCTTTCAGTACGTGTAAAGATAATGTTGACAGTTTGGGACTTCACAATTCCTGCTACTCCTTCACTTCCTGCCGTAATTGGTGTATCCTTGCTGTATATAAAAGATAAGTTACTCAAGTATTGTTTGGAGACTAATAGAAGTTTTCTGATAAATTTTTAAAAATATATATTTAGGTTTGAGTCCCCATCATGTTTGAAATATATTTTTCTTTCAATTGTTTCTTTATAGATTACTGCTGCCTCAGAGTTCAGGGATTTTTTTTTTTCATCCGATGAGGAATGAAGACATTTAGAATACGTGCCTGAAAATGTTTGTGTTTAAGTCTTAACTATTAGTTAGGTATCTGATACTGTAATTGAAGATCGTTTCGGCGTTGAACATGGTACTGATGAGTGGTTTGAGGCATTGGATCAACATTTTAAATGGCTTCTTCAATATAGAATCAGTCCTTATTTCTGCAGATGGGGTGATGGCATGCGTGTTTTAACATACACCTGCCCATGGCCAGGTACTATGATGAAACAACCTAGGAATTGTGACATGACCAAAATCACTTTTGCCATGTCTAAATCACTTCCCTTTTCATTGATCATGGAAAATTAAAATTTTGATTTTAGGAAAGTTTAAAATAACTTTAAGTTGGTTTTTAAGGTATCACTTGGATGGTGATTTTGAAAAATCAATTATACTTAAATCTCCTTTTTCAAAATCACTCATTCTACCGTCACTCCCAAACATACCTGATTATACTTAAATCTCCTTTTTCAAAATCACTCATTCTACCATCACTCCCAAACACACCTGATTCTATGTTATTGCAATGCAAATGCAGCAATACGTGATGACTGTTCTGATTTTTTTAACTTTCTGATGGGATATTGCTTTCTGTTGCTTGCTCAATCTGATATTAGCTTACTTTTTTATTCCTATAGCGGATCATCCAAAGTCAGATGAATATTTTTCGGATCCAAGACTAGCAGCTTATGCTGTACCATATAGAGCTGTCTTTGGGTAAAATTCTCAGTTTCCTCCATTCACTTCTGTCAGGTATGTTTGAGATGGAAACTGATGAACTTCCACCAACTTGTTGATGTGCCACAGTGGTGATTCTGCGAAAGATTACTTGCAAAGAGAAGTTGATATTTTGAGGACAAAGACACACTGGAGAAAAGCGTACTTTTACCTGTGGGATGAGGTATTTATGTGTCCAGTCACCCAAATGTGACCCATTCTATACTATCTGTACTATGTTGGGAAATAATATTCATGATAGAGATTTAACAATTATTTCATAGCTATACTTTGCAATTATGCTGTATTTGCAAACCCGCTAACTGTAAAAGTAGTAGTTGAATTTGAAACAAACCAGTGTTGAAACTTTTGGTGATTGGGGTCAAATTTGAAGCTATAGTTCAGCGATCAAATTGACTGTTGTAAATAATTCCATCCAATAAGTCTATTAGACTGATTGCCCGGAGGTCTACTGCATTTTTGTGTGACTCTTTCAAAAAGCTGATAACTTCAAACTTTTAATGGCAGCCATTGAATTTGGAACATTATGATTCTGTTCGCAGTATGGCTAGTGAGATTCATGCTTATGCTCCTGATGCTCGTGTATTGACAACATACTACTGTGGTATGAGACATGCTCCTACTTTAGTTCGGCCTATTCATTCTTCTGTAAGCTCAGATTATATTGCTCCAAGTGATTACACACAATTTTCCCTGCTAGATTAATAATTTGACGATACACAGATTGTTTTAGAGTTTTCTTGAGCAGTACTTGGACCTCATCCTCATCATTATTGAGGATATGATCCAGAGTTTTCCATATGAATACACTATTAACAAATCATGAATTAATTTTTTATTGGTTATTTATGCAGGACCTAGTGATGCACCTCTTGCACCCACTACTTTTGAAGCATTTGTGAAGGTTCCGAATTTCTTGCGCCCGCATACTCAAATTTATTGCACAAGGTAATACCCTAATTGGAAGTAGAGGGAGTTAGATAAATATAATCCATGTGATGTTGTAGCAATCATGAGAAGAATGGGAGATGAGCTCATAATATATTTCACAGGCCAGGTGCTTGTCGTTTGAAACTATTTTTTTGTAGCCTCTCATAAATTCATCTTTTGGTTACAACAAATAGTTACCCATCCAATATACTTAAGCGTTATGCATGAGAAAAGCAACCATTTTTCCCTGGAAAAAGTTACCCAAATCCTCAACCCAGCATCAGAGATAAGCCTTGGTAGCCTCTTATAAATTAAAACTGCTTGAAGGTGATTTGACGGTGTAGGACTATAACAATAAACACAAACTTATATCTTGTTGCTTTGACGTTCTTCATCCAGTCTTGCAATCAACTTTCTACTATCTATGCTCAGTTATTTAGCATCAAAGAATATTTGCTCCTTACTTTAATTGTACAGTGAATGGGTGCTTGGAAATCGAGAGGATCTGGCCAAGGATATAATTGGCGAACTACAAACAGAGAATGGTGAGGTAATGGTTATCTGCCTAAAATGTATTTAAAGTCATACTCTATTTATGACTTCAGATTTGAGGATCAATTTCTATGAAATTGTACGTTCACGGTTGATCACCTGTTTAATATTGGACTTTTGCTAAATACATTCATGGCTTTGTATTTGGTTTCTGTTTGCATGACCACTGTAAATATGTACCATTCTGTTATGGTGCTGTGACTTCTTCACACTCTCTCAGTTTTGCTAGTGATGTTCGGTCAATTAAATTATTGCTTCAGATTCTGTTTAGAGTTCTTTGAAGACTCCTGGAGATAATAGTATATGGATTGAGTTGGTGACATTAGAAGTAAAGGTTTTAAAGATTCTCGATTGGTGAAATATTTATGTTCGTTCTTCTGTATTGCATCTTGATTCAACCATCAGTGAATATTCTATATGAGTTCTTTTTAAAATGGTTGCCATCCTCCTGTGGTCTAAAGATTCAATTCCTTCTGCATAGTTCTCTGCTCAGAAAAAAATTTACCTTTCTGGCAGGAATGGTGGACATACGTGTGCATGGGGCCAGCTGATCCCCATCCAAATTGGCACCTTGGGATGCGAGGTACGCAACATCGTGCTGTGATGTGGCGTGTATGGAAAGAAGGCGGGACAGGATTTCTTTACTGGGGTGCGAACTGTTATGAGAAGGCAACAGTTCCCAGTGCAGAGGTAAACTATACCTGCATAGCTGCGGAACCTCTAAGTGCTGAACATGTAGCATGCTTTCCTAACAAATCTATATTCATAATCTGAGTAGATAAGATTTAGGCGGGGCCTTCCTCCTGGAGATGGAGTGCTTTTCTACCCTGGGGAGGTTTTCTCATCTTCACATCAGCCAGTTGCTTCAGTAAGACTAGAGCGTCTTCTTAGTGGTTTGCAGGTAATTTTAATTTCTCATTAATGCTAAGTTTTTTACCCTACGAGTTAAGACATAGCTTTCTGTATGCGAATTATAGCATTTAAATTTTGAACCATGTAGTCATCAGATTGACAGATTTAATGCGAAATACAGAAGTGGGGGGAAAAAGTCCCTTCGCTATATTATTCTGTTTTGTGTTAAGCACAAACAATTGATTCTGTATTCATCAATAAATAGCTCGAAATTCAAGTTGCCAAGTTCTACTTGGATAAAAAATTTAGCTGAATAGCCTGTTACATAGTTCGTTTATTTTGGCAGCTCACTCATTTTGTTTTACTTTGGATATGTTAATGAAATCGGTTTCGGATGACAATTAGGACATTGAATATCTGAAGCTTTATGCATCAAGATATGGTAGGGATGAGGGGGTTGGTATTTTGGAGAGAACGGGTGTCTATCAAGGACCCGAGCGATACACTCATGATCACATGCCGATTGATGTAATGCGGGGTGAAATCTTCAACTCATGCCGATCATAAAAACGGTTGCCTGCTAAAATACGGTGGAAATTGTAGATTCCCTCAGGCGAAGTTGAGCAGGTTTGGGAGTGCCTAGTTGAAGACACAACAAAGGAGATAGTGAAATCCTTGACACATTTGGGTCAACGGCCTGAAAATCCCTTTTCTGAAGTGAGGTAACTTTCTGGGTCTTGTACCATGTCTACAGTGTATTTTCTTTCTCAAGTACTTGGTCGATGTGAACATCCCTGTGCTAAGAATATGCGTATAAAATATTAGATTTAGGCAATAGAAACCTGCACGATTGTGCATGACGATAAAAGTTAAATAGTTTTTCTCCAAATTTGCACTGTAATTTTCTAGCTCCAGTAGCCGTAGACCTACTTTAAGTTCTCTCGCGTAGTGTCACTGGTTGAGATTGTGATGTATTCAGTGACATTTTTGCTCGAGTTCCAGTATGTTCTCTTTCTCTTTTTTTTTTTCCTTATTGAATATTAAAGGTTAAATTATACTTTTCTTACTTTAGCTTTGCCAATCTTTTAGCCTCTGAACTTTGTATTGTGCCACTCTAGTCTTAGATCACTTCCTGGCATTAAGAATCCTGTTAACTGCTAACAGATTAAGTATGTGGCAGCCACACCACATGTAAGCCAAATCGAATGATGTGCCTGAGAAAAAATCCACGAGTACCTAATCTCAGGTTGGACCTCACACCGGGATAAAAGCCTCTAACTAATACAGATTTGAACCATAGACTAATCTACTCCAATAACTGCCTTTTGAGATTGGAAAAGAAAAAGGAGGAAAACTTGATCCATTTGGGGCTAACTTCCAAGGTTAGGGTGATGTGATTTATTGTCTGATTAAGAATCGCTGAAGAGATCATAGATTCAAGGAAAGCAATGGAAGTTGATTAGAGAATAACAGATACATCACAGTTCATCACACATACACACAATCGCAAACGAAACAAATAAGCTACGATTATCCAATCGACCTCCTCTTCTTGCCTCTAACCTTTAGTCGATCTTTTTAAGGGTGGAAGATCGTCATCAACCAAACCTTAATTACAACAAGTCCTTGCCTCCCCCATTTACCCAAAATAGAGCTCAACCACCATGGTGGATGGTTGTCTATGGTTCCAGCTTGAATAGTGGTCCTGACCTAGTTAGACACATAGGTAGATTTTAATTTATTGTACATGTAATCTCGCGTGTGTTAGTACATGGCTGCAATAATATTATCTTTTGGCAATTAACGAGCTTAATGCCAATAGGAAATGACTAACATTTCCATTTTTTTAATGACCGGGAGTCGAAAGCTTTGTTCCCCTATGTCCAGGTGCACCCGCGCCCGCCCCATGGCCCAAACCTAGGAGGCATCAAGGATTTTTGGTATTAAACTCACCAGAAGGTTCGAACTTGAGACATCTAAATCAGTATGACCAAGATAAACAGTTTAGAAATTAAAAAATATAGCTTAACTGCTATTAATAATTAATCAGCCTCCCCTATTAGACAAAAAGCTCAGCTCGTGCTCTCATAGGCCATAGCAATGATGTGAAATCTTACATATAGAAAAAGAGGTGGTGATTAAAAGCAATATTCTGTAGATTGACTTTCTTCTCTCCCATGAACCACTTGCCCCCACCCGTAGAAACTAATGTTGATTATAATCACTACATCGACTTTGTAGAATAGGCAGCAGCTTTTTAGGCTGTGTAATATGCATTAACACCATAACGAGTGAGTAGGGAAAAAGAGAAAGGCGCAGAGTATGGAAAGATGAAAGCTTTTTTAGATGGAAGTTACGGCTATCCCAGTCCAACAAGCCATCAAAAACATCTAATTGATAAATCAAATAGGTAATGATTACTTCTTGTTCTTTTCTTTTGCTCATCTTGCTTTTTGAAATTGTGCTGCTCTTGATCCCTTACAGCTGTATGTTCTTGTGTAGTCAATTTTAACTGGTCCCACTGGAGCCCTAAAAAGTAATTTTTTTAGGGTAAATTCTCATGCCTTGTCAAAGTACTTTTTCTATAAATATCTTTGAAGTTTAAGTGCTCTCTCTAAGATTGCTTTGTAGTTTTTCTTTTTCTTTTTGCTAAATTAATACCTCTAAACTTTGCTTTTTTTTTCCAAAAATATCTCAAGCCTTACAAAAGTTTGAATATTACACTGGAAAATACCTTTTGAGCAAAATCTGTTAATATTTTGAATGGAAAATTGATGTGGCAATGAACGTAAAAATTGGCGTGATATATAGGTTTCAATTTTATACTAAAAGTGTTATTCCTTCATTGTCAACAGAGTTTGCTTCTCCCTACCCGATTTTGTTCTAATCCCTTTTTAAAAAATGATAGTTTCTTCTACATTTTCTCTCTTTTCATACATAATCCAGACAAACTTCTACATTAATTGCTCGTTCTAGATGTTGCCATAGTTGGTTTTTCACTTTTGAAATGATGGTGGAGTTTTTTGAAACGAAGGACAAAGTTCAAATAGCATTTTTAGCCTTTCTTTTTAAGCTTGAACAAGGGTGAGGTGTAAATTTAAACTTCTAATTTTTGCAATAAATTACTAACATCATAACTAGTTTTGTTAACTAGTTGAGTTTTGGTTAAACGACTTATTTTGTAGTATTTTTAAACAATTATCAAGATCACTTTTGATTATGTACCAAAGAGTGAAATAATTTTTTAATTTATTAAAGGTATTTTTCACCATTTCAAAAATCCTGTTAAACTCATTATTAAGCTCCACAATGGACTAGGTTTCACGCCAGATACGAAGCATCTTTTTTGAACCTTTTTTTTAAATGAATTTAACAATTACAAAGTGATATTACATGTACTAGTTACATTGGGCAATCTCCCTATCTAAACAAAAATGACAAGAGAAAAAAAACAAAGACAATGGGTTAAGTTTTGTCAGTGCGTTGATTTATAAGCACTTGGTAATTCTGACTGGATAGTTCATTTTCCTACGTGGAAAATTATCATTATAAATAATAGGTACTATGATTATTCTTTGTCAAATATAAACGGCGACGGTATCATAACACAATAATTGACACGTTTATTTTGATTTTAAAAATCAGTTCATTGACACTTGCAATTGATCAAATCCGCATTGGATGCTCAATTAGATTCTTCCTAAATATTGAAGAAATAGAACTAATATTAATAAATCCTATCATCTAATAATTTTGCATCTTGATAATATAGAATTGGCCGGCTTGATAGATATTCTAAAAGTTTAAGTAATTTTTAGGTTAAATTATAGATTTAAATTGAGCAGTGTATTCTCTAAACTCCAAAAAAAAAAAATATTAATTACTCTCCTGAACTAATAATAAGTTCGCACTGATCTAAGTCTAGTTCAATAATTTAAGTATATGTATCTTTTTTTTGATGGTAGGTTTGAATTTTTAACCTCTTACTTGTGATGTAATATTGTTTAAAAGAAATTATTGCATATGTTTTATTTAGTCTTGACTCGTTATTTTTTTAGCACAACAAATGTGACGACGGAGATTTGATCTCAATAAGGAGCAAATATCTTAATGATTGAACTATGTCCATGTTAGCAGCTACTTATGTTATTATTTTGTGGTATATTTATTAATATATTTAGTTGTCTGTAATACTAATGATAATCTTTAACCATCAAAGCAAACTAGATTGTTTAACGATATCTTTCTTTAGTATAAAAAATTGTGAATACGAAGATTTTAACGTTGAATCTCTGTTGTTTAATTGCCAAGTCTCACATTAGTTTATTTAATAATGGTGGAAGAATCAAAGAGGCTCACGGAACATGCTAACAAAAGTACCTTTTTCAAAAACCTTTTTTTTTTCCCTTTTTGTCAATTTGACAATATTTTCCAAAAAAAAGATTCATAAGATAAATGCAGATTAATTAAACCTCGCACGTGCACTCCACACGGAAGTGATCTCTAAGGTATGATCAAACCCGGACCACCACCGCCAAAACAGGCCGCCGGAAGCAGACACGGCGGCGACGGCGGCGGAGGGGTTGGTTGCAGAAAGGGCCAGAAGTGGTAATGATTTAAATACTTGAAAAAGGCAGCTGGCCTTTGTCTGGGGTACCCTGTCCGTATTACACATTGGAGTCCTCAGACACAACAGGACAAAACAATCCTTGCCCTTTTAAGCACCGAGATACGCTACTCTACAACCGAGACCACGAGCTTCAAAATGAAACCGCCCTTGAACGCTGCATCATAATCTGGGACGTTCCAGTGCGCGCGTCCCCACCGTAACACGATGTGTCTTCTGTAAGAAGCACGTGTGAGGTACGCTCCATTTCAATTTCCTCTGTCACTCGTACTGTAATCGTACTTCACTTTAAAACTCCGCTACGCTTTCTCAAATGCCCCCTTACATTACCATATTTACATTATTGCCCCCCTCCTGCCAATACACTTTTTTTTTCCAGTTTATATTTTGTTTTTATAATGGCTAAATATATATTTCTAACTTTTTAAGAAATCAGTAGAAATTTCAAGTCCTTTTTCTTTCGATAGTATTATAATTGATAATATCAATCAATCTTAATAGTCATCAAGGAATTAAATTAGAAAATATAACAAAAAATAAAGTTTATACTAAAATGATAATGGATATGACATTAATGTGGATTAAAGTAGTAATATGGCCTAAAGTTTTTTCAATAATGTGACAGTCACTATTGACTTGATAAGTTAAAGTACAATGTTTAAGAGAAAAATAGACACAAATATAAAAGTGGAAAAGAGAGTAGAACACTCAAAGTAATGAGTATTTTTTAAATTAAAATATCAACTCAAATATTTATATGTCAATTCTTTAACCCATTAATTTGTAGTGCTATATTATAAACAAAATTTAAATTGAACAAAAAAAAATCTTCTTATAAAGGAGGATAGAAGTTCATACAAGATTGGTTCTCCATAGGCTTTTGTCCCAAACAGACAGAAAATGATTTTAAAGAGTACACCTTCATTTCTTTTCTTTATTTTTTTAGTACTCAGGATAGATTTAAAAAAAAAAAACCTTACCTCACACTATATCTAAACAATGGGTTTTTTTGGGGAATTTGTTAAGAGTTTATTCTAGAATCTTCTCACTCGAAAATACGTGTATGGACCATAGTTCAGACAGGAGAGGACGAGAGAGATTAGTAAGGCATAGAGACTTTTGATTGACCTTGTGAAAATCCAACTCATATTATTGACCTTAAAATATAAATACCATTGACAAAAAATCTTATGAACACGAGGTACCACAAAGCTTCATTCTGAAAAGCGTGGTCCATATATTCTTCATGAAAGGTGTACACTCTTTATATAACCTAAATAATTAAGTTTAACTCAACACAAGCTCAAATTATGTGCTAACTTAAGTCTCAGAGTATACGTGGTCAAGCACCGACAAGATTTAGGTCTCTACTTCAACTGAGTAGACATCTAATATGAACCAAATCAATATAATCCAAAGTGGGAAATTTTCATCGACGTGTCGACATTTCCTTCGACATTTTCATATGTCTGTGAATTCGACATCAATATAAGAGGTCAGGGTGAATCGATATTTCAACAGTATTATAAAGAAAATCGACCAAATATGAAAAATATCAACACATTACTGATTATTTATTTTTAATTTATTTACAAACGGTGAAATATTTATCTATTAATTTCAATATTTTTTGTAAAAAAAAATTATCTTTATAATCTTTCATAAATAGACATGTTCATGAACATTAACATTTTAAAATCTTGATATAATCCAATCTCTGAGATGAGATTTCACGACCTCGATGTAGTTCTCATGGTGAGGAATGAGCCAAGAGACAAGATTAGGAAAAATCTTATTCTTAAAGTTGTCTACCATTGTGAAATTTGGGGTGTTGCAAGCAGGGGTATTATTGTCATTTCAGTGATGAATCTGTGAATAAAGTTTCACTACGCTCTACTGTACATACAACGGTCTACAAAACAAGAGTATGAAAGACAAGAAATTAAAAAGAAAAAACTGGGTAGACGACAAGCACCGCCTAGTCCGACTTTCCCCGACAAATGTTATCGCCTAGCAGATTACGACACGTGGATGGATAGATTTCCATGGGCAGCCGGAAGGTGAGAACATATATCAGGCATCCCCTCCCACTAACCATGGTTACCACAACACCACCCCTCCACTAACCATGGTTAAACGGCGCCGCTTTAACTACTTTTTAATTATTTTCCTCTCATTTCGACTCCCCTCTTCTCTCTGGATCTTCGCTCAGCCAAATACGAACTGAGAAACCGCCGCCTTACGCCCACTGGTTTTCCGATCGCCTTCCGAAGCAAACCGACATGTAGATTTGAAGTTTTCACTTGCACATTCCCTGAGCAACTACTTAGAATCTGCAAATTCAGACGCTCCCTCGGTTTTTAGCTTCAGTTGATCTTTTGAATTTTCCTACTAAGAGCAGTCACAGAGCTTGGTAGTTGAAGTATTCGAGTTCCTGTATTGATTAGGATTGATTCGGAATAGGTAGTTTCATCAAACAACTGAGCGGCTAGGCTTTCGGTGAATCAAAAAGCCTAAAACTACCTTTGTTGAGGTCGTAGTTAGTGATTGATATTCTAGGTTTTGTGCGGAATGGTTGATTTGGAGAATTCTTCGCCGGTTGCGGTTTCTGGAGAAGCTGGTTTATCCTCTTCAGGTTTTCATATTGAACCAGTGACGGTGGTGGCTCCGCCGAAGAAGAAACGGAACCTGCCTGGAATGCCAGGTAATTATGGGATTAAAAGCCAATCGCACGGCGTAAATTATGTGGTGTTACTTTCTATTAATTTAGCTCTGGATGTGATGTTTAGATTTGATTATTTCTGTTTTTCAGATCCCGCGGCGGAGGTGATTGCTCTGTCGCCGGAGAGTTTGCTGGCGACGAACCGGTTCGT